GAGTGTGTTATGTATGTGTATGGTATGTTTGGTGTGTGTATGTGTGTGTGTAAGTGAGTGTGTTATGTATATGTATGGTATGTTTGGGGTGTGTGTGTGTGTGTGTATGTGTGTGTGTGTGTGAATTTGCATCTGTATGCCCTCAGGATTAGATGGGAGTGGAGGCACTCACATAGAACTCCTGGTCCTTGTATGGCAACAGGGAGTCTTACAGACACCTGGAAGATAAATTCTTCTTGTGAGTGACAGCACTTCCTGATTCCAGGCCTTGAGAATGCTCTCTGGGTGGGACTCAGAGGTAGCACCAATTTCCAGAGTTACTTCAGTCACCCAGACTGCAGGTAACCTCTAGCAGTCATCCAAGTATTAAGAGTCTGGACACTCCAGAAGCAGCCTGTAAAATCAGAACAGGCCCCGGGGTCCCCCTGTAGATCAAAGACTTCATTTAGAACAATGAAAACGTTAATAGTGAGGTTCACATCCAGTATCCTTCCCCACGTCTGCCTTCCTTCCTAACCCATACCTAAACAAGTCTCAGGACTGTGGCTGGCTAAGTGGAAAGTAAGTTCAAAGGTCATAGCACATGGCCCTACCTCCTATAAATGGCTGAGGCCATCTCAGGAAGTTTACCAGCACATATAAAAATGTCCCAAGCCAGAGTGTCCTCAGGTTGGCTAGTACTCAGCGCTACCTTGTCCAGTGAAATCTGTGTCTCTTCCTTAAGATCTGGTGGCCTTCCTGTACATCCTAGATTATAGGGATGTTTCCAACACAGCTGCACTTTGGGAATTCCATGGGCTTCCTGCTCCAGTCATTTCACGTTTTCCATGGCATCAAGAAACACCCAGATACACTGGCCACAGCTTCATCAGGTGTGGATGGTCATGGACCCCATTCATGGTTTTCCAGTGTACCTCAAAAATATCTCCATGACCAGGGAAAAGGAAATCTACTGAGTTCTCTGTTAGGTGGGTTTTTCACTATCTGGAACCCTCTTGGGGAGGCTACAGGGGGAATGTCCCACCTCAGTGAATGCCATGGGAAAGCTAACACAGTTACCAAAACTCTCATCATTTGGCAGTTGTTCTACCATGGTTACCTGCAGTCTGGGTGACTGAAGTAACTCTGGAAACTGGTGTTACCTCTGAGTCCCACCCAGAGAGCATTCTCAAGGCCTGGTAAACCCTGTCTGGTTTACCTCCAAGAAGTCTCTACGAATACATGAAAGCATGTGTGTGTGATTCTCTGCCGCACTGTCTGTAACAATAAAATCTGAAGACAGGCAGCTTTCCATCTGGCTGTGCAGGCGTGAGGATCTGAGTTCAGATCTGCAGCACTCATGTAAAGTTCAGCACAGTGGCAGATGTCTGTAACTCCAGCACTGGGCTCCAGGACAGGTGGAGACAGGGGCATCCCTACAGTTCTGTGTCCAGCCAGGCTAGCAGAGTGACTCAGTGAGTTCCAGCTTCAGTGAGACTCTGTCTCAGAAACTAAGTGGGCTATGAGTAAGAAAGGTGTACATCACTAACACACACTCACACTCATTTGCACCCAAAAAAAGAAAACAGACAACCCAGAAGCAGAAAGGGGGCTAGTCGTGTAAGAAAAACGCATTAGAAGTGAAAACACAGTCAGAGAATCCATGGGCGAATGTGGTCAGGGCCCCATGTGAAACCGTCATTATACATGATAATAATATGCTAATTAATATAAAAACACTTGTAGAAATAAACTCTAGACACTGGACAGAGGTCATCTGTGTAAGTGCTGACCCTGGTTGTGGAGCTGTGAGTGATCCAGCTCTGAGGGCACGAGTGTTGGAGAGCTGGCCCTGCCACTTGTCTGCCGTGGGATGATGTAGGCAAAAGAGAGATGCCGCCCACCTTCTGCCCTTTGCCACCTGTGGCAAGTGGGAGAGCTGGCCCTGCCTCTCACCAGCTGCAGCACTCAGGAGAGCAGGCCCCATGCCTTGCCTGGGCAGCACAGCAGAGCCGGCCCTGCTGGTATAGGTGAGCCTGCCCCAATGGCATGAGAGCAGGAAAGATGGTTCTGTTCCTTGCTGACTGCAGCACTGGTGAGCCAGCCTGGACAGTGCTGGACAGTACCCTGGTGGTGTGGGTGCAGGAGAGCTGGTGGGCTAACCACCCAGGCCTGAATTCAGGACTTTGGGGTGGCCCACCCTAATATCTACCTCATCAATGAAGTGCTGAAGTGCATGAAGGCGCCAGTCCTGCAGATACAATGCTACAGGGTCTCTATGACACAACAGAACATCCGAGAGGAGTCTCACTCAGGACCCAGTATTGATAGTGCAGCAGAAGCCAGGGGCCTCAAACCAGACCAATGACTCACTGCAATGGACGTTTTCAAGTAAAGAAGTGTAAGCAAAGGGGTATACTGTGAAGCAGAAACTTCTGGTTTCTTAGGAAAGTCAGTTATGTCAAATAATGTTTTGCTGGGGCACACAGGTGAAAGGAAGTTTTGCTAAATCAGACATGTGGAAGAATGTCTTTCTGAAGCAGACACAACTAAAAGTATGTTTTGCTATAGAAGACACGTGAAAGGATGCGTGATAAAGGAGTATAAATATGACCCCACAGGCATTGGTTTACTTTGCTTCACCTTGCTATTCTTCGCTAATGACACACATGTATTGGTTTGCCTTTCTCTGCATTGCTGAGCTCCGCTTGTGGAGCTTGTGAGCTCCGCTTGTGAGCTCCGCTTTCTTAGAGAGAAACTCACCAAAGAATTTCTCGTGGGATTCCTGCAGCTTCTTGCCACTTCCCCAACCTCTGGCAGGTTGGTGAGCCTTGCAGTTTCTTCAGGATTGAACTACAGCTGCTGGTCCATGTGTGGTGTCTGCAGATAGGACTGGACTACAGCTGCTGATTTGTACTTGATGTTTGCTATGGCACTGGGCTGCTGATATCCTGACAGTGAAGATTGGACTCACCACCAAAGAACTATTTCTAAACAAGTCTACTTCCCCCATATCCTAATAACTTTTATTTTCCACTACCTCTGGTGGGTGGTGGGCTGTGGGAAAAATTATAGGGGCCTCAGCGGTGGTGGTGGAGTCCCAGAGGCTTTCCACTCATGCTGCGGCAGGTCCCAAATGCAGGAGGAACGTCTAAGGTTCCAGTGACCTGGAGGCTTTGGCGGCGGCAAGCCCCAATGACATGAGAAAGTCCTTGGTTCCAAAAGGGTTTATTGTCATGGCTGATGGTGGGTGGATTTGGATGTACCCCTGTAAAACTCAGTCCTGAGTTAAATAGGGAGGGAGAAAGGGGGAGGATCGGTGGAGGATCTGGGGAGGAATGCTTAATTTCCTCCGCCCTCTGGCCTTCATTAGTATATAAATCCCTAGGGCCTGAGGCCTCTAGTCACACCCTCTAACTGTGCACTTTGGGAGGGACTGTAATGGCCTACTTGACTGAACAATGTATTTCTATGGAGACTAGACTGCTTTTCAGGACCCTGGGTTCTGGGGGCCCGCCAAACTCCTGCCGGTTCTCACGTAGAGTCTCCGGGTTCTAGGCACATGCCCAGCCATGAACCAGAATACCCTTATGCAGTCCCACAGTGGGCTAGAGGGGAAGTTGAATGTTTATTAAAGTAGGTTGAGAAAAATTTATGCCTACACTGTGAGACACACTGTGACGCACAACTATAGAGAGAATCTCTTATAAGCATCACCTGTCAATGAAAAAAGCTTATGGACAATGAGCTGAAGCTGAAAACAGGCGACAGGATATCCTGCAGGGACAGGTTGATTTCTGGTAAATAGTCAGGACATGGGAGATTTGCCCTGAAAGCTGATGAGAAGGATGTAACCCACCAGGTAGTTGAACTCGGGTTAGCATAAAAGGAGAGATTCCCCTGGAACACTGAGGAGAGGAGCACAACCCAGCGGGTAGCTGGGCCCAAGCTAGAACAAAGGGGAGATTCATCCCAGGAACTCTGAAGAGATGGATGTAAAAGACAAGGAGAGGAACCCAGTGGAACCCAGGTTAGAATAAAAGAGATGATAAGTTAAGAGCACGTCAGAGAATAAGCCCTAAGCTTATGACCTAGGCGTTTATAAATGAAGAATTAGTCACAGAGTTGTTATTTCTGGGAATTGAGTAACTGGGAAGAAAACCTTAATTTTTTACATACCACAGCTTCCACAATGAGATTTTTTTTCCTTTGGGAGCAGGGTGGATTGCAACAGCAAAGGGCAGAAATGAGGGCACAGGGAAATGAGTGGGATTGGGGTGCACGATGTGAAATTCACAAAGAATCAATAAAAACTTATAAAGAGGAAAAAAAGAGAACTAGCAAAATTTAAAAGCAGACCAGTGTTCATCTCGGTCTCCTGCTGGCTCTAGGTTCACCCAGAGCCTCTTGTCTCACCTGCTCTTGTCAGACTGGACTGTGAAAGCACAAGGCTTGTGTGGTTCTGGGGGTTTGCTCCCCAACACTTGAGAGGCAAGATGACACCAACCGAGGAGAGTCTCCTGAGTGAGCTATTTCCATGAAGTTAAAATAACCTTGGGAGTCCCTGTGGGAGACTGGGAGAGTGGAGACTGGGAGAGTGGAGACAACTTCTCAGACCAGTTTTTTCTCGAACAATTCTAATCAGGGCAACTAATTGCCTATGACAGACAGTAGGTCCTCTGAGAGTCCCCCACCCACTCACAGTTCAAGCATGTCAAGTCTCTAGACCCCATGCCCACTTACAAGTGTGAGGAATGGAGCTGGAAACCAGGAGGAGACTTTGAGTAAAAATGTCCCTACTACAAAGACGATTTCAGCCCCAGTTACAGGTGCCAGGCAGTTCCTGTATAGAGAAAGAAGCCTTTCACAAAAGGGCTTCCTGCTGAGGTCCTACAGTGTCAAGGTCAGGTTGGAGTCTTGAAAAATCTGGCCTGGTGAGTGGGACAGCAGCCAGATGTACCCAAGAGCCAAGGTCTTCCAGAAACTCTGCACATAAAAAAGCCTGGCAGGCGGCCCCACTCCAGCTACAAAGGAGGGTGGAGAGACACCACTGAGACAGCCAACATCACAAGCAACCCTGCCCTCGTGTGTCTGCAGTATCTTTCTGGTAACTTCAGTCAGAATTAGGAGGTGCAGATACCGGTCATGCTCTCCCAAATAGGAAAGAGGGTGTCATCTCCCAGGCTCACTGTCTGGAATGACCCCACGGGGTACCTTGGTAGTACACAGACACTGACTTGAGCATCTCATGTTGGGAGGCCCGATTAGAGAAGGGAGACAGTGTTGGCTCCATCCTTACCCCATAACCTAGATTCAGCAGTTCTTAGACCCTCTAGTTTGCTGGGATCCAGACTTTGTTGTTGGGATTCACTTTAAAAGAAGCAGAGCCAACCCATGAGTTTCCAGAAGGGTGTCATCGTTCCAAATGCTTCATAATCACTCTCAGGTCTGTGTCTCTCAACATCTCCAGTGTTTGCTGTGTGCAGAGCATCCTGCTGTTATCCTTCCCATTTCATAGTTGAGACAAGGAAGACTTGAAGCAACACAGTCAAGGTGACATGGTTAACTTGACCAATAAGTACATTGACCGCCTATACTAAATTCCAAAATGTGACTCTCTAAAAAGTAACTCCTTGCATAAAAAAAAAAAAAAAAGTAGTTTTGCTGTCACTACAACCCTGCCTCACCAGGACATTAGCTCATGCGGCCCTTGAGGACCAAGCCTTGGGTGAATCATGGTGGTCCTGGCTAAGGAATGGTCCCAACTGATATAGCCCCCAGTAAAGGACAAGGTATGGACATTTTTGTAGGTGAGAGAAAATGTAAGAGGTTTACAGAGAAGAGAAGCGATTGGTGAATGTACATGTTAGGAACCTTGAATGAGAACCCAGGCCAAGTTTTGGCTTCAGTCAAGCTTAGGCAATAGGAAAGTGACCAGCTTACTCTGAGATGGTAGCTAGGAGGAAGACATAAGTAAGCCCTCTCCTGTCCTCCATTGAGTTCCAGTGCATGATGTTGATATCCCACAATCCGACCCTAATCTGGACAGTTGCCATCTTGGTACTGCAGACAGCTTCAGCAGAGCAGGCATGGACCCTGAACAGCAATGCCAAGGTATTCTGGGGCCTTGGTGTTCATGAGCTGAAGGCTAGGCACATCTTCCTGATGAACAGGGTAAAGCTGAGGTGGCAGCCATCCAAGACAATGCTTTAGACAAGAACTCCATGTTCCTCATTGAGATCCTGCTGCCCAGGAAGAAACATGTACTGAATAGGATAAAGGAAAAATGTATCTTGAGCAGAAAGCCTCTTCTTTGATACCCAGGAGCACCCCAGTGTCACTGAATTTTCTGTAGTGCCCTGTCCCCAAGACCAGGCCACCATTTATGCTGGGCATCCAGATCCATGTACAAATCTGTGCTCTATGACAGCCTGAAGAACCCCCACCCTGAACCCCTGATTTCCTCTGACACCACCAGCTTCTCAGTCTGACTGTAGAAGCCAGTATCTCTCCCCATAACCCCATCCTCAATATCTATGGTGTGGCCTAGTCAGCACCATAGCTTGTTTATCTGTGGTACCATGTAGAAGGCCACTTCCTGTGCCCCACCAGGCTGGAGATCCTTCTGGATCATGGGAGCACAGACATCCAGGACTGGAGAGTGGAGCAGCTCTGGAATAATGGCGAGTTCTACAACAACCCAGAGGAACTGGATCAGAAATATGCACAAGGAGAAGTGGACATAGTGGTCCTTGAGGAACCACTGCCCGAGAACACAGTGGGATCAACTCTCTTCTCTTCTTACATGGCCTGCAGGGACTTCCCTAGCCATCACTGGCCCTGGCTTGCATGTGGCCCAGACCTGCTTTCTTCACTACAGCCTTGAGGCCAGCACTGTTCTCTGGGGAATTGGATCTTCCCTTCCAGCTGTGTGCCTTTTCTGGACTACACATCTTTAACATGCATTCCAAAGGTGTGCACATTACATAACAGGTCAGTGTGCAGAGGCGGTGCACTGTAGGGAGAACACACACCTGAAGGTGTGCAAACCATGATCATGGACATGGGTTACAGCAGGAACAGCACCACAATGAGTCACCCTGGCACCCTGTCCCCTCAGAACATTTCTGAATGCCATCCCATACCACAGCAGTGGTAGCATCCTCCCTGAGTACCCTCCCTCTTTGAGATGCCCACAAGGGTGAACTGCAATCTTAAAGACAGCTTCAACTCTATTGTGGGGCTGAAGGGAAATGCACACTGCTTCTGAGGACAACCTCAATAAAATCGATTATACCTTGGACTTCATCTTTTATACTGATAGGGCAATGGGGACCAAGATGCACATCTGGATACATCCAAACCACCTCCTACACTTCCAATGGTTTGTGCCATGGTGCTCGCCTGCATATTCACCTTTACTTGGCAACATCCGTGCCCACCTAGCACAGCACTCAGTGTGTTGGCCTCGGTGTGGCAAGTAGGACTCAACATCACACCCTAGTCACCGAGCTGCTTCCCAACAGTAGCTGCATGCCACCAGAGACAGAGCTGAGACTTCCTGGCATAAAACCAGAGACTGAGAGGATGGTGTGCACGGATTGGGGAAAGTAATTGCTCAGGAAGTTCAGAAGGGCTATTGTCAATGTAGGAAGACCATTAGGACCAGATGGTGGCTCAGCCCTGTCAGCCCCACTTGTCCCACTGGCCCTGACTACACAGACTTCCTAAGCATGTTGAAACATGGCTGCCTCTGTTCCAAGGATAAAACAGGCAAGGGAACTGCCTGGGTCACACTGAAACTGCCGCTGTTGCCAGCACTGACCCAGGAGCTGTCCTCTAGTTTCTCTGGTTTGGCTTTAGACCTCCTTTCTGACCACACTACCAGCCCTGTGTCTGTCTCAGCTGTGCTTCCTGCTGGCAGTTGGCTATGGATGTGGCCTAGAACAGAGAGCCCAGGGAATTCTCCTTCCCCCTTCATGCTTCCAGGCACCAAGAACAGCTCCTAGATACTCCATACGATGTAGGAAAACATCACCAATTCTTAGGGTCCAAGACAACTCCTGATCAACCCCACCCTCAAACAGACACAGCATTCCTTCTGCTTCAGGCTCTGCCCAAAGGCCTGCTCTTCAGCAGCCCTAGAGAGAACTGCTGCAGCTACATGCACAGTTGCCCCCTGCAGACCTGTTTTGTCTCTGAGGCACTGATGCCTCTTCATCTAGTTCTGGTGAAGAAGACTCCCTCAGTGATTGTGTGTGCTTCCACTGTCCAGGTTTTGTATCGCTGTCTCTCTGTCTCTGTTTTTCTGTCTCTGTCTTATCTGTCTTTATCCCTCTCTCTGTCTGTCTTTCTTCTCTGTGTGTCTCCATCTCTCTGTTTTTCTGTTTCTGTCTCTCTCTGTCTTTCTGTCTCTGACTCTGTCTCTCTCTGTGTGCCTATCTCTCTGTCTCTATCCCTCTGTGTGTGTGTCTCTGTCTCTCTTTCTTTCATTGCATGTGCGTGTTGCCACGCATCCTTATGCATTCAGGAGAGAGGAGACACTCACAGAACTCCTGGTCCTTGAATATGTATGATTACTCTTTTAGACTCCAAGGAAACAATTATAATCCTAGGAAAGAGTGATTTTTGCTATCTTTGGCCTTAAGGATGCTTCATGGAGAGGGTTGTGAGTCAACCCTAGTGACTAAGGTACTTAACTTCTAGCAATGACCAAGTACTGGAAGTCTGGGCACCATTGTAGCAATATCTACAACCATAACAATCTTTCAGATCCAGTCATGCTCTCTAAGGAATTCATTCAGAGCAATTCTGCCCCAAACAGAGTACTCTCAGCTAGTCGGTTCTCCACACTGTCTTGCCTGCTGAATCCTATGGCCTAGGTGACAGTGGGTTTCTTGCACATCCCAGAGGATGTTCTCAGCGTTGCCATAGTTCCAGCCCTTCAACTTTTTTCCAGAGTACCCATCCATGGCCTCTGGAAACTAAAGTCACAACCATGTCCTGCACTGAATCCCTGAGAACAGGGCCTAGCTGATGCCTTCCTCTTTCCAGTTACAATGGGACCTACAACCCTGTGTGAGGTGTCCAGCTGCAAACTATACTGAATTGTCCCAGAGATCCCCATGGGCCAATAATGAACCCTTCAGCTTCCTCCACTGTACACTGTTACTTAGAGATTGTGAGGGTGTATCACACATGCAGTGGGTGGCCATGGGCTCTGCTCATGTTTGTCTAATGCATCACAAAACATCCTCCATGACCAGGAATGGTGGAGTATTGGACCCCCAGCAGAAGCATCATCTTCATGGAAGTTACTGGGGTACTTGCAAGAAATCCTTGAGATCATGCCTGTTGCTTACTAATGGTCCTTCACAGAAGAGAGTAGGCATGACCATCGGGCTCTCTCCCACCTGAGATCCAGCCACTCCCACCTGCATCCCCAGCAAGCTATGTATAATTGCACCTGGCCTCCTGACATCAGGAAGTGTTACAATATAGTGTGTAGAGAGGGTTAACCGGAAGTGAGGACTCCATCTACGGAGCCACGGGGAAGTAGCCAGCTGTGCTGGGAGAGGATGCTTTGCTGTTTGTTACTCATGCTTTTGGAAATAATCCCTTACCCTTGCCCCGCAAGTCTACTAAACCCATTGGTTCCCCATGTTGGACTCTGGTAGAATCATGGAAAGCAGCAGATGTTTGCTTGTATCTCCCCAGAAAATGTTCACACAGCATCCAGATGAATCCATCCAATCCGCTGAGATGCTGGATTTTTCTACCATGTGGGTTTTTCAGCATCTGAAGCTTTTGTGTGTGTGTGTATGTGTGTCTGTCTGTCTGTCTGTCTGTCTGTCTGAGAAGCTATAGGGGAATTGTTGCCTAAGTGAAGGGTGGGCCCAAGGAAGCTGCTATGGGGAAACCTAACCTCTTCATTCCTCAGGACCACTGTCTGGGGTTTGCTTCCAGGATCTCTCCATTAACACAAGAGAAATACATGCGAATGCTCCCCCATTGCAGCCTTTAAGACCTCCACAATCTCATGGAGAAATGTCTAAAACACAGTGGGGTGAAGCCTAAGGGATGCTGTGGTACTGAAGTTTGTATCTTTACAGTGTTATCTCCTGGAGGTTTTGTTCGTTTGGGTTTCAAAAAAGTGTAAACATGCCTGACTGTAGAGCATCGAGTGGCCCCACTTGGTCGGCCACAGCTTGGCCTTTGAGGGCTTATGTGGTTCTTTATTGTGAGACCCATGTCCTCCTGAGGACCATGTACATGTGGAAGGTGGCACCATCCCTGCAGCCAGCCCTCCTCAGACGCATGCACTGTTCCCAGCCAAGGCCCCAACCACACCCCAGAAGCCAGGGAGCTTCCAAATTCTCCTGTCCACGCATGCAGCTGCTCTGGGCCTCACCTGCCCTTCAGCACCGTAGTTATCCCCAGAACCTTCAGCACTGCGGGATCTGCTGGAGTGAGCCTCAGTGACAGAGGGCTTACCTAAAGTATGCAAAGTGAGAACAATGCAGGGGGGGAAAGGAGGGGAGACTCCTTGGAGGAAAAGCGTCAGACCACCTTAAACAGTGCCTCTGCTTCCACCCACCAAGTCCCAAGAGCACAAGGTTCTCCCTCTGAGCATGGTTCTCAGCAGTTGTCCCTTATGGTCTCTCAATGGCTTTTCTTCTGCATCATCCCCAGACAGTGCCTGCTGTCTATGTCTCTCCCAGTTAGAATTACCTGCTGGCCATCATTTGTAAAAACAGGCCTCCAGTGCCCAAAGACCATAGCAACAGTAGCAACAGACTGCCTGAGAGTGTTCCCGTGTGTGTGTGTGTGTGTTTATGTGTGTGTGTGTATGAGAGAGAAAAGGAGAAAGAGAGAGAGAGATTGCACCCACGAGGGGGGGAGGAGGGAGGGAGGGAGGGAGGGAGGGAGAGAGAGCTCTTCAGATTACTGAGAAAGGAGCCAGGTTTGAGAACACTGCATTTAACATTAAAAAAAAAGTTTAAAAATGTTCATTTCCTATCATTTCTCTGAGTCCAGAGCAGAGGTTACAGTAGACTCTCAATACTTAGGTTTGATCTTGACACTTAACAGCAATACCATGGCAGGTACTTAAGCTCCTAAAACAAACTGCAAACTTAGACACTCGGCGCCTGACAATCTGCAGACAACATATTGATGTTTGTCCCTTCTCAATGTCTTCACGGGAAGGCTTTCCTAGTGAGTAGGGGCTGGCTGCACAGGATTGTTAAATGGCTTTCAGTATGATGTTCCAGTGGACCCAGGCCTCCATCCCAGCACCCCAATGTTCCCCAGGCCATCTCTGGGATAGAGACTTTACCCCAGGAAGAGCATGTGGAGTAAGGGGAGAGGTTGGGGAGTGTCCTGGGATCCCTGAGGCTGCTCTGGCCACAAGTTCACACAGCCACAGTTTTCCATGAAGGCTTGGGAATTACAAAGCTCACCACCTTCTTCCTCATGTAGCCATCTTGCTGAGGTACCTCTGAGTATCCCCTCTTATGTTAGAATACAGCCTACGCTGATTCTGTATGTCCCGAACTTAACTCAAATAAAGCCACATTCACAGGACCTTGGGCAGTGGTTCTCAACCTTCCTAATGCTGTGACGTTTCAATACAATTCTTCATGTTGTGGTGATCCTCAACCATAAAATTATTTTCATTGCTACTTCATAAACATAAGTTTTCCATAATGAATCATAATGGAAATATCTAATATGCAGGATATCTGATATGCAACCTCCGTGAAACAGTCATTTGATCCCAATGGGGTCATGACCCACAGGTTGAGAACTGCTGAACTTCAGGGTTAAGACATGAATATATTTTAGAAAGTCACAGTTCAACTCATAACTCAAATCCTCCCTAGATCTCTAACTATCAGAGGGACAGACGGACGTACAATTGTAGACAGTCCCTGGAACTGAGAAGGGCCAGTGCCCCAGTTCACACACCTGGCCAGTATCAGATCATCCCTTGGCTTTATTCTGCTTTCCTTCAAATGTGTCTTTCTGGATAGCAGAGGCCAGAAAGCTAAAAGTCTAACTCCCAACATTCCCTCATAGCCAGAAGTAATTTTTAAATACATCAAAATGAATAAGACCTTTAGGAATAATTTAACAAGAAAAATACACAATGTATATTCTGATAATTCCACAGCAGTGGTGGGGGCAATGGGAAGATTCCTAAATCAGAGGAAAGATGCCATGTTCATGAGTCAGAGACATAACATTGTTGAAATGACAAGATATGTAATACTGATGAACGGATTCAATACAGCTCCTCTCAGGCATGTGCCTTAATCCCAGCACTCAAGAGGCAGAGGCAGGTAGAACTCTATGAGTTCAAGGCCATCCTGGTTTACATAGTGAGTCCCAAAACATCTAGGACTTTTTCAAAACCAGAAAATCAAAATAATTATACTTTCTATCAAAAACATAAAGTATAAGCCAGCCACACTAGTGCTGCCTGAAATCCTAGTACTCAGG